TCAATTAAGAAAGTGTTCATTAGCAGCTGAGTCTGGTCCTGCCCCCGCCCCCATCTGTGGGACGGCACTGGGATGGAAGCTTCTGTGTTGGAGTCTGAATGTTCTCACTTTTATAGCTGTAATGTCAGATATTCAAGCTATTTTACGTATATGTTGTAAAGGAACGTTGTCAAGGCATTCTTGTGAACTGGTGTATTAGCCTACTTTATAAATCGCAGGGGCAGCAGGACATGTCTTTCAAGGTGCCTTTTCACAAGCATGTAAAGTGGGATGGGGATGCATGATTTAAAGTGCACACTGAACAGGAAGACAGCCCCACAAATTTGCTTTTCCCTTAGAGCCCAGTAGAGGGACCAGCAGTTCAACAGGCAGAGCAGCAAGAGGGGTAGAGTCCATATCTCACATCCCCTTTGGGGGCTTTAACATGATTTGTTTATTTGTAGAAGAATCTCTATGCTGCCAACTCATGTAAAATATCAAGGTAGTGTGTAATATATATACAATAAAACAGGAAAGACCATAAAAGCAATACCAAAATAAAATAAAATAAAACAAAATAAAATAATTGCAGCTCACCCCTGCCTTAAACATGACTAGATCAGTCCTGCATCTACACAGACACGAGACTGTTGTTATCTTCTGTAGTTTGGGTGTGAGATGATGATGAAGATATCCTGCCTTTCACTCCCCTTAAGGAGTCTCAAAGCGGCTACCAATCTCCTTTCCCTTCCTCCCCCACAAAAAAACACTCTGTGAGGTGAGTGGGGCTGAAAGACTTCAGAGAAGTGTGACTAGCCCAAGGTCATCCAGCAGCTGCATGTGGAGGAGCGGGGAAGCAAACCCGGTTCTCCAGATTTCAAGTCCACCGCACGTAACCACCACACCATGCTGGCTCTTGATGGAATACCCAGTGGAAAAGAACTGCCCATGAAGATGGATTTCATGTATCACTATATGCTATAATTACAGTGGAAATGGTGAACCCAGGTAGCAAAAACTCTGAGGTGCTGGATGTGAATTGGTATATTTGCATCTTCTATTCAATTAATAGACTCATGCAATGACCCTTTGATCTAACATCCTCCTAAAAACCTGCAGTACCTAACATGACTTTTCCATCTAGGTGCCTGCTGAAAAGCCACCCTTTGACTAAATAGTCATTGTGTTGTGGATCCTGTAATGCACCCTATTGGAGAACAGTAGAGACTTTCCATCCCATCTATTTTGTTGAGCTAAAATTAACCTATTAATGGTTTACTTGGTTAGATTTGGTCGAAACTCATTTTGTTTCTTTGAAGTCTTAGTGTGTGGTATCCTGGTTGCTCTCAATAAGCTTGTTATAGATTACCTGAACATGAAACGCTACATAAACCATTGACAGTTTCTTGGATTTGGCAATGATTTCTAAAAGCTTTCAATGTTAGTTTTTCATGTGATATATGTTGAACCACTTAATGTTGAATAGAATACTCTGGCTTGCTGTTTATGTGTGTCTGTTGTGGTCATTTATCCAAGTTTTAGCTTTTTCTAATAACCACAGGCAAAGTTTTCTGTCACCACATAGTTGATGAACATATTGCTCCACCTATGCATCAACTCCTAGCTAGAAGAGGGGGAAATGGTTGGGAAAGCTGAATTAAAGGAAGACTTTTTAATAATAATAATAATAATAATAATAATAATAATAATACATCAGCCAGGTGTCCAACAAAGCCCAAAATCAGAGAGGAAACTGATGGTACTTGTTACACACTCCTTTATTTGGTTTTTACATCTGGGCCCTAGGGTTGTATTTTGTGAAGAGGCACTCGAATTTTGCATTGGGATCCTTTGTTTATTTGCCTAGATGACAGTGTGGAGTATATACAACTGTTCTATGAACTTCCATTGCCTGAGGACCTTATGATGTTGCACAGCCAGTATAGCATAGTGTCTAGACGCTAAGACTTGTTTCAGGGAGGCCATGGTTCAAATCTTCCCTTAGCAGCAAAGTTGACTGGATGACCTTAAACCTGCTGGCTGTCCCTCGGGCTAACCTGCTTCAGGCTATTGTGAGGATAAAAATGAGAGTTAAATCACACATGGGAGGAAACATGGGGCAGGGGGAAATGTAGTAAATAAAAGAAGTTGATCCCACAGTGTTTATTGTTTTTAGTTTGGTTTTTATTGCAATATATTTGGCTACAGAGAGATGGATTTGGAACATGGCTGCACACCAGCAGTTTAGCAATGGAGGAAGATCCATAGGGAGACAATGGAACAGGCTAAAACTGAGGTTTCCAATAAATATCTGGTGCATCAGATAATTGCTGTATGGTGCCTTGAGTGTATCTTAAAATGGAGGTCTGCCTAGTGATATGTCCTTAGGTAAAGGTAAAGGGACCCCTGACCATTAGGTCCAGTCGTGGCCGACTCTGGGGTTGCGGTGCTCATCTCGCTTTACTGGCCAAGGGAGCCGGCGTACAGCTTCCGGGTCATGTGGCCAGCATGACTAAACTGCTTCTGGCGAACCAGAGCGGCGCCGTTTACCTTCCCGCCGGAGTAGTACCTATTTATCTACTTGCACTTTGACGTGCTTTCAAACTGCTAGGTTGGCAGGAGCAGGGACCGAGCAACAGGAGCTCAGCCCGCCGTGGGGATTCAAACTGCCGATCTTCTGATCGGAAAGTCCTAGGCTCTGTGGTTTAACCCACAGCGCCACCCGTGTCCCTGATACAACTGTATAATTCTGTAATTATTCAGTAATGATTTCATTTTATCTTCCAAGAGCCTTCAGCTGGAGTTGCGTGTCGAGGTCCCCAAGCCACCCCCAAATAACTCACAACGCACACTTATTTTTTGTTTAAGGTTTTTGGCATAATTTTGGCCACAACTTTATTTAAATACAAAACCGTGAGTGGTTGTTTAGGCATTGGTTAAGACTATCTGTCCCCCCGCCTGGGGACAGAACTGACTTCTGGGCACCACTGAAAGACAGTGCGGGGGAAAGCAAGTCAGGGAGAAATGGAGCTGAGTCACAGACCCTCAATTCTCACCCGCATGCTCCCCGAAGGCTTGCCGGCCCTAGTCCCATTCCAGGGATTGGACGAAAAGATGGCAAGCCCCAGGATTCCTTTAACGGAATTCCCTTTCCGCAGCAACCATGGAGGGGCAGGCCCAGCCTATCCTAACCCCACCTCCACCAATTTATAACCAATGCCTAACCGCAACCTTACAAGTTGTGACGATTTGCTACGCAGTAGGCAAAAACCAAATGGCCCAGCCAATCTGCCAGATGGACAAAATTCCTACCAGGCCCCTGCCCCAATGGCAGACGACCCCATGACAGGCATAGCAAGGTCAATGCAACAACCCCTTACTCAAGGGCGGGTGGGCGGGTGGTCCGTTGCACGCAGCAAAGAGAAAGATCCAGGCTGTGTGCAGAGTATTTAAACATTTTACCCCTCCCACCAAAATTGCAACATAACTTTTACCCCAGCAAAAGTTACCAATCACTGACCCAGGCCATTTTTAGAGACCCTGCCTGGTAACAGAGGGGTGGCTCAGCAGACCCCACCGCAACACGTGCTCTCCATGAAGGAGAACATGCTATACCTTTATATTTTAATAAATAAGATAAATTATGTGCTTTTCACTGTCTGTCTCTGGTAAATACAGTTTCTCAGAGAACAGAATTGGTCACTGAAATCTAAAAATGTATTGATTAAATAGTCTGGAATGTAGTTGAACAAAAAAGTTGAACATTTTCTGCTAAATTTCTACTGCAAATGGAGGGCTAACAGAGTTACCTTGGAGCAACAGGGACCAGAGGGTGACATTTTCTCTTTCCTTTTGGTTGTTTGTATTTGTATTTAATTGTTTATTTAATGCACATGTCTACGGTTGAACAAAAAAATCAGAGGTGAGGAATCCATGGATTATTTTAATTGGTTGTGAAATGCCTTCAGTAACTGAGAAGCTTAGCAAAGTTTACAATTGGAAATTACCGTAGAATAATATTTTAGCCTACTTTAATTTGTTTGTCAGTTTTATCTGTAAACTGTTGGCTTCTGAAATTTAGTTACAGGTCAAGGCCCAATCCAAGTGGCATTCCAAGCAGAAGTCACACTCCCTTTACCAGTGCCCGGTATGTGTTGAAGGTGTGGGATTATTAAGACCACTAAAAATGTTAATCTGCAATGCTTCTGTGGGCTAATGTCTGTACTTGGGTAATTTTTTTTAAAAAAAAGAATAATGGTGCCTTCTTTAACTTCAGACTATTTTAAAGATAATTATTCCAGTGCATTAGGCTTCAAGTGCACACGGAAACACATTTTTGTGCACATGAGTCTTTCTGTACAGAGTAATTTCGAAAGGAGAAAAGTCTACTTTCCACCACCCAGGATATTTAAAATGTAAGCTGCTCTTGGCTGAAGATTGAAGTAAGAATGCTTTTTTAGGTTGACATCTCCGACACCCCTACTCCTGCCCTCCTCTAACAGGCACTCAGTGAAATCAGAGCTGTTTAGGAAGGCAAATCATAGAATTGTAGAATTGGAAGGGACCACAAGAATAATCTACAGTAGTCCAACCCCCTGCAATGCAGGAATCTTTTGCCCAACAAGCCTTAGATTGAGGCTGGATCTATACTGATTTGGAAAACTCTATTTTTAAAAATGCTATATAAAAAAAGCTCTCAATGCAATTTCTCATTGGGACAGATCACAGTTCTACAGCGCTATCTGGTATCACATGTTTATAACACATAGATAACATTTTAATTAGTCCAGTGTGGCTGAGTCCTAAGTTTCATCCTCCAAACTGAGCTATCCCACCTTATAGGGTTGGGGCCAGACTGGCGAAAAAGAGGAAAAAGCAACATTGTGTTGTGCTACGTTTTTGATGAAATGACAAATTAGTAAAAATCATTGCATTTTGAAAAAAAATTTAACTAAAAATAATCAGTATATTTGTATTTTTTAACAAAATGAAAATCTCTCTTAATTTGTTTTCAATTTTCACTTAGTTAAAGATCTTCTGATCTTTAAGACCACATTGGAAATTTGAAGTATTTTCCTTGCTGTTAAGATGGAGTGATTGGGAAAGTAGTCATGCGTGCATGTGGGTGTGTTATTTTTCTTCTTCGAATTCTGTGATTTTGTTGGTTGGTGGAAGTATCTGTTTTGGTTGTGAATATGTGTCCATGAGAAACATAAATCTGTGATTAACTCTTTTTGTGCTGTTATGAATGGTATGTATTAAATGCTTGGATAGTTGAAACCAATATCTAAGCTTGGTAATGGAATTGAATACTGTCAGTGATAAGTTTTGATAGGAATAAGTATCTTTATTCACACACCTTGGCTATGCTTATAAGGTACTAAAGAGACACTGTTTATAGTAATTTGCCTTGCTTCTAGATCCAATTCCTCCTCCTCCTCCACCACCTCTTCTGAGATGGTCACTTTCTGAGTCTTGGGATGGTGTGACAAAGGGCTGGGGTGGCTACAATAAGAGCATACCATCAACTGGTCAAGACGTCATCATTTTGCCTGGTAAGTAGAAAAGGTCTGATGTGAAAGTTAGTCTTGCATAAGGAGAAAAATCATAGAAGCATGGGAGAAATAAATAAATACACAGAAAAGCTGGGTCAGGTTGCCCAGAGGCATTCTGAAGCCTGCTTGATTTTATCCTGGTTTGCCGGTAGTACATGTAAAAAACGCTTTAGAGGGTCTTAGTGGACCATAAGCTTAACAGTGTGATGCAGCAGCAAAAAGGCTAATGCTATTCTAGGCTACATCAACAGAGATACAGTGTCCTGATCAAGGGAGGTAATAGTCCTACTCTATTCTGCCTTGATCAGACCACACTTGGAGTGCTGTGTCCAGTTCTGGGTGCCACAATTTAAGAAGGATATTGACAAGCTGGAATGTGTGCAGGAGGGCAGCTAGGATGATCAAGGGTCTGGAAACCAAGCCTTATGAGGTGTGCTTGAAGGAGCTGGGTATGTTTAGTCTGGATAATGATAAAAAATAATCACCATTAATTTATTATTTGTACCCTGCCCATCTGACTGGCTTGCCCCAGGCTCTCTAGGTGGCTTCCAAAAAATATAATATAATAAAACATCAAACATTAAATGCTTCCCTATACAAGACGTGAGTGACGCTGTGGGTTAATCCACAGTGCCTAGGGCTTGCCGATCAGAAGGTTGGCGGTTCGAATCCCCGCGATGGCATGAGCTACCATTGCTCAGTCCCTGCTCCTGCCAACCTAGCAGTTCGAAAGCACGTCAAACTGCAAGTAGATAAATAGGTACCGCTCCGGCGGGAAGGTAAACGGTGTTTCCATGCGCTGCTCTGGTTCGCCAAAAGCGGCTTAGTCATGCTGGCCACATGACCAGGAAGCTGTACGCCCGCTCCCTCGGCCAATAAAGTGAGATGAGCGCCGCAACCCCAGAGTCAGTCACGACTGGACCTAATGGTCAGGGGTCCCTTTACCTTTATACAGGGCTGCCTTCAGATGTTTTCTTAAAGCTGTATAGTTATTTATCTCCTTGACATCTGATGGGAGGGCATTCCACAAGGTGGGTACCACTATCAATAAGAATTTGAGAGGAGACATGATAGACACCTTTGAATTGCTAAAGGGCTCTCACATGGAAGATGGAACAATGGATTCAAGTTATGAGAAATGAGATTCTGATTCAACATTAGGAAAACCTTTCTGATGGTAAGAACCCTTTGACAGTGGAACCGACTCCCTCGGAAAGTGGTGGACTCTTCTTCCTTGGAGATTTTTAAAGCAAAGGTTGCCTGGCCATCTGTCATGGATGCTTTAGTTGAGATTTCTGCATTGCAAGGGCTTGTCTATATGACCCCTACAGCCCCCTCAGGAGCCCTTCCAACTCTGTGATTCTGTGACCCTTAAATTTAACTGTTTATTTGTCATCTCCACATACTTTGTCATGTTTTCTTGCCTCCCATGACAAATATAGCCCTCTCTCTACATACATAAATACATATATACATGTTTTCTCAGGACATAATGCCTGCAATTTAATCACTGGCATTTTTGTTACAGCCCTAATAGGTAAGCAAAATTATGCCACAGCTATTGCTAACAACCTCCTACTGGTTATGCTGATAAATGAATCCACAATTTCTCCTTTTTCATATTCCAAAAGGGAATAGGGCTTTGGTTCATCTAAGATAGGGTGGAGGAACTTGTGTGTTGAAGTAAGAGTAGCGAAATCGCAGCTAAGAAGCTCAAATCATATATATGAGTGACACCCTTCTTTGGGAACTAAACAAATACCCAGAATTAACATTCAAAAACTTTACTTGCAGAAAATTATAGTTATAGATAAATTAAAACATAATATTTGCAGGCACATGCTTCTCCAAGCATGGGCCTACAGTCTCTTCTTCTAACTTCCAAACAACTGTATTTTCCTCTCTTTGCAGAGCTCAGCACTCAGCCTTCTCTATCTCTGTTAAGCCATGCCTTAAAGCTCCTATGAGATATTTCCACTTTTTCCCATCCTTCAACTTTGCTTTCTTTCTTTCAGGGCAGAGAAGAAGCACTCCAACACTCTATTCAACTTAGCAGTGTTCACAGTGGATTCTAAAACACAGCCATACCTCCCATGTGACCAACGTTATCCAATCACATGAGAACTACTAGAGAACTTGCTAGAATTCAGTTACCAACCAATCAAATTTAAACACATAGTAATGCATACAAGCATTTAGAATTTCAATGAATTAAACTACCATTCTTAACATTGTGGCTTTCCACATGTCAGGCCCCAACATTCATTAGTTCCAGCCAGCATGAACAGTGATGGGGAATGATGGGAGTTGCAGTCCAACAATATTGGGAGGACTATAAATTTCCTCACTTCCACCTCTGATCTAAGAATGCAAAAATGGAAACACTCTGTGGGTGCCCTCTAAAGAGGTTAATATGGATGAAACCTCATCCTTTCAGAACAGTCACTAGAAAGAGGGTCACTGACTTCCTTGCTTTAGTCAAAGTCTCCAAAAAAATTATTCCCAGATCTCAGAATCACACCTGGAGGATCTTCCTTTTGGAAGTTTAGTCCTGAGCTCTTCTGAATAAACCTAATTTTAAAAGGCTTAAAGAAGCAACACTACCATGGATTGAATAGTGAAACCAAAGCAAAATACATAATTGGCAAATAGAAACAAGACAAGTGTACTGCTTAAAAGTTAAGTCATTCATGCTTTAGAACATGCATTTTTTTTTTCATTCTGTAGCCCTCTGGTAAAAATATTTGTAACCCTTTCCTCATACCACGAGCATAAAATGAAGATTTTAATATCTAAGATCATGGTAAGATATCAGATATTAAAATCTTCATTTTATACTCTGCAGTTCTTTCAAGCCACATTCTAATCTTCTTTTTGGATGTGTGTTGCCTGACTCCTTTAATTTTCTTTGTAGCTGATCTCTCTCTCTTAAATTACTCTTTTCTTAAGAATTCCTCACTTTTCCTTTTCTTGACTGTGGGCTTGCGTAAAAAAAACTGTTTTTCACACCAGGAGTCAAAACAATAGCCATAGACAAGCCTAACATGTGCCAGAGTGCTTCTTATGTGAGGTGCAGAAATTAGGGATGCGTTAATTTGGGCCATTCATGAACACAGGCTTCGCTCTGGACAAAATGCAGTAGCTCTCCTTTCTGCTTTCACATTTGTATGCAAAGTTCAAATGAAATGCACCCCTAATACTGTGTGCGAGAGAAAAGCATGTTATAATTTCTAGCAATGGCATGTTGTATAGATATGATATCATGTAGCCTCTGGCAGTTTTGTTTTTTAGTGGTGGAATCTGCTCTGTTGTTAGTGGGCTTTTTTTTTTTATTCTTTCTGATTCTGATTTGCTTTGAAGTTTTTCTGTTTGAAGAGATGAATGCTGGAGCCCTGTATCTCATGTAATAATGCTTCCGTTGTTCCTGATTTCCACTTGGTGGTATATTTATGGCATTTTCTAGTGCAAGAGTCTCGATCAAAGGGATTTTGTGTCATTACTTGAATCATTAGCAAGGCTTGTTTTATGCCAGAGCTGTGTCATTACTGAACTTTTCGCTAGACAAAAACATGCATGCATGAATGGTGTATCAATTTAGATATCAGAGTGGTATCCTTCTTCGTTATGTATTAGCATTTGCTGATTAAGTGGTGTAGAGTGGATGGAGAGAAAAGAGATGAGTCACACGTGACCTTTCCCCCCCAAGGTTTATAGGACCTAAAGTATGCAATATTTGGCCCCAAGTTATTTAAAGCTACAAATAGATGTATGTTGCAAGATGTGAATAAGACGCTTCAGTTTTTTTTCATTTCCTAAAGGAGTGTGGAAAGAGCTTAGCTCTACAACAGAGCCCTCTGCTGTTCTGTTGAATATATTTCTGCATCACTCCAACACCACATAAAATAGAGTGGTTGTGGTTTCACCATTCTGGTTATGCCCTTAGTTGTTGTTGATGATGATGATCAGATTCATTCATTCACCAGCAGAACTATTTTTGTGCATGACGAGTTAACAATAAACAAATCTGTGTTGCTGATGTAAGGTCACATTCAAACAGCAATGATTATATAGGAAGTTAATACTTTTTTTTAAAAAAAGGCTCAGTTATTTCTAAGGATGTGTGGCTTAGCAAATAAGTAACAGAGAACTAGATGAAGTATACACTCTAGGATGACACGGACTATGTTATTGCATGCACTTACTGACTTGGATCTTAAGTTTTTATTCTGTAAATGCAAGCTCCTTCTGTTCAGTGAGGGGGAAAAAGGGATTTAAGCTAATGTCTTATAAAAATGCTTGTCCTAGGCTAGTTCCCCCAAATTAATTTAGCTGCAATGGCTTTCCTTCCTATGCTTCTGTGTACTATTGTGACACTGTATTATTTTCTGATTTCCAAGTCAATTTGTGCAAGGTATCTTCTGTATTATGTCAACTTACTGAATTTTATCCAGTGGTTGGTTTGTGCTAGCATGAAATTATTCTGCTTGTGGCATTTGCTTTCCACCAGGACTGCAGCTCTTTGTGCCAGCTCCTGCAGAGTTCCTGGGGGCTCTTCAAATCTCAAGAGCAGCTTGAGGGAGGGTAGGAGGGGACCCATGGAAATCTGGTATCTTGCCTTGCATAAGCAGGAGTGCTTTCTGTTAGTGCATTTGGTAAGAACCTATGCAAATCAACAGTAAAGAAAGAATGATCAATGTTGCTATGCTTCACTCTTTTAATGAGGTGTCGGCATGAATGTGGTCTGGGCAATTGCCATTGTAACGGTCTAGTGGGAGTTATTTGAGGTGGGAAGAGCAGTAACCCCCTCCTAGGGAGTTGCTGTACTTCTGAGGTATAGGTTCTAATACTGAAGGCGTCTGAGGATGCCCTGGAAGTGTTTCCCCATTCCAATGTACTACACCAACCCCATAGTTTTGTGGTCACCTAGATCAGTTGTTCTCACATTTTCTTCCTTCAGGGAAATCTTTCAGCACTAACTTGTCTACCGATAAACCCGCTTGCGCTGCTGAGATTAGGGAGCGCGTTCTAGGATGCACACAATGAGTTGGTGTGGAACTTTTCTTAAAGACCAGTTGGGTCTCACTTTATTGTCCCACGCGAACGGAGAGGGTGCTCCAGATAACAGCAACATGCTGCTGTGGTTGCACATCCTGGGGAAATAGCTATTTCTCAGAGAAACATCTGCAATTGTCAGTCTTCTCATTGAGGAGTCTTGGATAAACTTCCCCAAGAGTTTCCCTGTCAATAGTCTGAAAATCACTGATCTGTGTCTTTAGAATGGAGGGTTAAATGTATTTTGAATATTTGAAATTATGCCCCGAGGTTAGAAATGGTCTCCTTTTAAAGCAAAAAACAATTTCTATGTTGTTTTTCTGAGTGCAACATAGAAAAATCTTGCTTTAAAAAAAGGAAGTTTGAATTATTTGTTAATAAAGTAACAGTAGATGACATAGATAGAGTTCACCCAAATGACCTTTCTGTCATTCAAACTGCAGCTTTGGGTACTTGGCCATTCTGCCTCCATTCATAATCTACTTGACCTCTGCTTCTTTTGTTTATTTATAGCACAAGGAGAGAAAAGAGGCCTTCTATTCACTTTGGAGCCATCTGTTTTCCACTGTTTGTTTGACTAGTAACTTGACCTGATGATAATGTGGTGTCTGAATGACAAAACAGATTGATTTGTTGTGTAACTTTTTCATCCTTCGGAGCTCAGTGGCAGGCAATGTGGAAGAAGCACAGGCAGCCCATCCGAAGCATGAAGACCAATCCTTTTTGCTTTGTGTCTCTTAAAAAAATAAGTTAATTCCCTTAAGCTGCATTCACAAGCAAGTGTTTCACTGAATTTCTTTGCTGACTGGGAGAAAGAGATCAAGGGAGAATTTTCATGTGTTTATTTACAGACTAATTAAATTAGGCCTGTTATTTTAGTAGCAGCAGGAGCTAATGATACAGTAGTATGTTGAGATTCTGAATGCAGTATGCATTTTTTGAAAGCCTCTTAATCATGGTCCAGGTATCTTTGTATTGTGTGTATGTGTGTGTAAATGTTTGCTGCTTTTCTCTAGCAACTTAACACCAAACCTACTGCAATGCCAGCACACTGAAGTACTGTTAAACCAATTAGTTTCGCTAGGAGAGATTAAAGTGTGCATGAAGTCTGGATTGAAATTACAGACAATCACTTGCCATGAGCCTGAGAACAATGAAGAGGCTGTTGTGTGTGATTTGAGGAAGGAAGTGAGCGTGTTGGTGAGAGGGGTAGCCATCACAGATACACCGTGGTATCCTATGCACAGAGTGAGAAGGAAAAGCCAGAACCTGCCCACTTCCCTTTTAAAGTCACAGAGCAACAGCAAGGGGCATTTTTGTTCCTCTTTGGGTCAGCGTTCCATTAAAACGTATGCCATCCCCCCATTACTCTTCCGCATTCTCATGGAAGGTAGGTCATTATTTGAACAGTATTAGTGGCTGCTCCAGAAAGCACCTCATATCAGACCGTGAAGATTCTTCTCTCTTTTCTTGGTGTCGTGTTATACGTCCTTTCATTTCAATTTGAAGACTGTTGAGGCAGAGTGCTTCCTTAAGTGTTTATATTGGATTGAAACCACAGGCATTACAGACTTCTCTCTCCCTTTCCTCCCTCTTTCTCAGGCCGAAGCATCTTTGTGGATACAACCCTTCCTCGTGTCCGAGGCCTCTATATCCAGGGCACACTGGAATTCCCATCAAATTCCAGCAATGCACTTAGCGCAGCCTGTATTGTGATTGCTGGCGGTGAGCTGAGAGTGGGTAAGTGAAGAAGAAAAATAAGCAGCAGGAAATCTGCATGCTGGGTGCTGGTCAAGGACAAACAACACATCTACACATCCCCACTGCTGTTACTGATAATAACACCAGCAGCAGGAATATACTTTCATGGGGCTGGCGGGGATACCAAAAACACTGAGTGGCTGATCCATGTCCAGGAGCTATTAGCCATATAAACTGAGATTATAAGGACTCTTTGTGTTGCATTTTTTTCTCTTTGAACATGAGTAGCATTCCTGAAGGAATATTGCAGTATGTTATCCGTTATTTCCTAATTCATCATCATCCCAAGTGTGATTGAGCTCATTGCATTGAGCCCATTCATTCACAATGAAGACAACTAATTATTTATATGCGATATACAAGTCATTTTCCACAATTCATTACATCGTAAGCTTTACAGATCAGGCTATTTTAGTTACTTACAGGGATCCTTGCCATTTTAATACTGCTGTGTTGGTCACTCTTTGACCTTTCTCAAAATTGCTTTTTTAGGAACTTTGTAGGGGGAATTTGAGTAATTGGGTACTTGAGGAAGGCAACCTGCAACTTTTTTCTGGTGAATCTCAAGGGATCCATCTAGTTAATATGGCTTTGGAAAAATGGAAACATTTTAGAATTCATTTTTGTCTTGGGAATAAAATAACGGTTTAAGAGTTAGTGAGGAGGGTAAGTCCAAAGATGGATATTCTTAATAGTTGATAACTAGCAGTGGCCATGGTCCATAGATCCACAGGATCCATGAAAGCTTATGCCAAAATAAGTCTGTAAGGTACAAGAAGAGTCTTTGTTGATGTGTTCCCACGAGATTCATTCAGTTTGGCAAAAGCCCTCCTCTTCCCAGAGTTGCCAGACCATAAATGTTCTCAGCCCTAAAAATGCAATCCTTTCTTGTATTGATTGTATCAGATCCAATGCTGCTTCTTTGGATACAGAACTTTGAAGAACATGGAGACTTTTCTCTCTTTTTTACATACAAAAGTTTCTGGAAGCACTTTCTCTTTATGAATTTCCAAGCCCATCTCATGCTTTTCAAAGATCCTGAATCAGAGTTAGGCAGGGCAGATTTTTATCACTTAGAGAGGAAATGAAAAAGCCATAGCCAGCATGAAGAATTGAATTAATAATAGACAATACTTAGTTTAATAGCTATGTTGGGCCTTGCACTTTGTTCTGCCCAACAATAGAAGAAGATGCCATATCCTCTATGGCAGGGAAACATACGAGACTCAGATTATGCACTGATGCAAACTGGAAATGCAGGTGAAAACATGGCAGTGCCTTTCCAGAAAGGTAATTGTGTGCTTAACATAGAGATCCAGACCAGAGCCACAAGCCTAGAGAAAGAGACACTTGGAAGTGAATTTCTTCCTCAGCGTAGTTGGAATTCCAGATGTGGTTTATTTGAAGATAATGAGCATGTTGTGGATTCTTTTAAGGACATAACAATTATTTTATCAAGCACAAGTTTTGTGACTTTCTCAATGGCATCTGACCAAAAGTGGAACTGCTGAGCTACTATTCTTGGATCCCCTTTGAACCTTCTATTCATTTGGCTATACAAGATTCCCCCTTATGCTCACATTAATTGTCTCCTCTGCTCTCTCCTATCATACTCATCCACCATCAGTTTTATCTCCTCCAGACTCTCACTACTCACTGTTTAGGCGCAGTCATCTCCATTTGGTCTGCAAGGCCATTTGGGATAAGCCACTTGCATCCATACTACAAGTGTCATGCAGCCAAGGGTGGGCTTTGCCAAAAGGGTGGAACTTGAGCAGCTTCCAAAACAGCTGACAACCAACCAATGGTTGGGAGCCTTTGAAGGGCTGCACAAAGCAGGAACCCAGCGCTGCATAGGATTCCCCCTCTCCACATTGGCTGATGTGAAGGTTATCCTCCTTGGTCCAGGTGTCCCCCCCCTTTGTTTCAGCAGCTGAGGGTGGGAATAGCCTTGCTTTTAGCAATGTCCTGCTGCTTCTAGTGCTTTGAAGCCTCAACTTTGGGACTTCAGAGCACCAAATCCTTTGACATCATTTGTGATGACGGGAAATTAACAGGCTGGCCTTGCCCACCTGTCAAATTTGGAGTGTGAGGCAGATCCTAATAAGAATCTGCACACGGACCAAAAAGATTTCCCAACTCCTGGATTAGGGAATCACTGTACTAGGGGGAGTAGTCGTCCCCAGCTGAGAACTGCATGGGAGCTTAGTGCTTGAAGAGGTACCAGTCCTTCAGGATGGCTGTGTCTACTCTTTAGTTATTGAGTGGATTTCTTTGCCTCTTAGGGGCCTGCTAGAAGCCTTTTTGTTCAGACATGCCTACCCAGGCATGTAATTTAAACATGCAATTTGACTACATATAATAGTTTCAGAATTGCTGGTTTTATTTATAGTTTGATTAAAAATTATGTCAATTGGTTCTTAACATTTGCTTTTATTGGTATTTTTAATATTTCAGAATGTTCTTTGCAAACAGCTCAGAGGATTTCTGCCAATTGAACAATATATAAACTTTGTGGGTTTTTTGTTTTTAAAACTTCACCCACCCCTCATTGGTAGATTACTGGCAGAAGAGGGGAAAAGGTTTTGTCTATGTCAGTCAGAACTACTCATGCAAGTTTGCTAGATGTGGAAGATTTTTCTGTTCTGTAGCAGTGTCATGTGCATGAAGTGTGGCGCTACATTTCTGGGAATTTTTTTGTTTGTTTGTTTCATTCATCACATCCAGGATCAGGACCACTTATGCTTATTCTTAATCAGAGCTGCGGTGATGACAGCTTAATAAAAGATTAATTGCACACAATACATTTATTTATATAATTATTTTTTAAGGTTCACGAGGAGAATGCTTCTTAAGGATACATATTATAAGCTTTCTTTTCTTCACCAAATGCATAATTTTAAAAATGTTAAAAGATCATGACATGATGGCTAATTCTGCACAGATTTATTTCTTTAATTCTACATCTGCTGCAGTTTTGTGCTGTATAATTGATTTAATCTCTAATTTTAGAGGAATGCTGAACTCTCTAACTGGACTCTGCTTACATTTCTCTAGGGCAAAAATTGCCCTACTTTCCCCTCCAAGTATCTGTTTCATGCTAGGCCATTTTCTTCTGAGACACTGAACTACCCTTGGTGAAATAAATAGATTCACAGTTGGAATACAGCTTACTGTATAGAGACATCATTGCAAGATAACAGCTACTTTCCTCTGGATTTTTGTTTCATTTTTTCTCATCATGTGCATTACCAATCTTTCTGTTAGACTGGAGAATACACTTAGAATTTAGACATTTCATCCGTAGAATATATATGATATGCGGAATACAAGACACAGTTAATTTTTTTCACAGCCACCACACAGTGGGCCAACGTTTTCATTTAGCTATCCCAATATCCCTATCTTAGCCAGTGAGCACCAGCTCAGACCTCATCAGCATGTATGTAATGTGCATGCATGTTGGTGTGTATGTCTGCATGCACATTACATACATGCTGCATGTGTTCTCATTAGGGGTGCTGGCCTATTGAATGGAACCAAGATGGAACTTGACTGCTGAAGTGGAGCAGTCAAGCAGTTAGACATAGGCAGACCATGTCTGCTTGGAGTCTGGTAGAATCTGCTGTGTCATAAGCAAGCACCAGGGTGGTTAAGGGTAGAATGTAGAAAAATCTGTCCAGTCATAGACAGGGTGGGAAGTGGGGCAAAGCAAAGTCTCTTGGACTGAGGAAGTCCCTTAATCACAAAACAGCAAAATGCAGTTTTATCAGTTAGAGTAGTGATTTGGAACTGTAGTACACAGAACTGAATAACACACAGCCATATGCTCAATTTATAGAGAAGTCATTGGATAAAATTAGAGGTAAACTGAACTGGCTTGCTGGCATAGGTGCCAACTCCCTGGGTGACTGAGCACCCACAAAATTCCCCACGAAGGGGCTGGATTCCCACAAATTTCGGTGCCACCCACAGTGCATGGCACCCCCAAATTTCTGTGCATGGCATCCACGGCCCTGGGCACCCATGGTTGAAGGGCCAAGCTGGCTCTCCTGTTTGCTGGGCATGAATGGATTTAAGCAAAATATTCATGGTTTTCAACATCCTTGCTTTATGGAAATTTATGTCCCCCGATCAATTGACTTTTCAAGCCATTAGTTATTGGAATGGCCTTTCTGGGGAGATCTGTTGGGTTTCCTCTCTTCCTGTGCTCAGAGATGCACTTAAAACACCCATTCATAAGAAGATCTCTAATGCTTAGTTGTGTGCTGTACCTCATAAGTTATTGTCTAATGCCTTCACCTAGTTTACCTATTTTCACCCGTTGCCGCTACAAATGTTATAATGGTCTTGTTTGCACAATACAGTAAGCCAATGGCTTACTTGGACTTCGCAAGCAAGTTTGGGGATTTACATGTTACCATTTTATTTTCCTTGCCCTTTAGCAATTGATGTCTATGTTAATGATAACATTTTTATCAAAGTTTTTAGATTTATTAGCAGCGACATGAGATCATTTCTTTTATAGAAAAGTATGCTAAAAATAAAAATCAATCAATAATGGCCATTCATTCCCCCCCCCCTGTCAGGTACTTTGCAGCATCCATTAGAAAGAGGAAGAAAGGTGCAAATTCTGCTTCGGGCATCTGAGAGAGTTTATTGTGATCGATTACATGGTTTAAGTGCTGATCCTGGAACCATTGGTACGGTTAAGTAACATATTTTGAGTTCTTTAAGGTGCATAGGAAAAAGAGGCCATGGTGCTATTCAGTGCTCTTTTTCTAGAAAAAGAGGTGCCGGAACTCACCATGGATGAACTCACCCTTGTTCTCTTATAAAGGCAATGGTGCCCACCTGAGAGGTGCCAGAACTGAGTTTAGCTGGGGGGAAATGCCCTGGTGCTATTTAGTGTGCAGCTAGTCAGGAATCCTTGTAATGAGCCTACATGCTTTGCTTCCACCTGTCTGTGTTTCCTTTAATCCCGGCCTTCCCAACCAGAGCTCAGCTCTGGTATTTCCTCCTAAAAAAAAGCTCAACACCTTTGGCTCATTCTCCCCCCAAAAAAAGCTCAATAACTCTGGTCAATCCAATGGGTAGATCACTGCCAGTTTATTTACAGTGGGAGTAGATCGCAGTCTCTTGGAAGTTGGACACCCCTGGGCTTATTCTAAGTGACAGAACCCTGTAGCCCTCAAGCCTTGCCCTACCATTGATAAGGAGCCAGACATGTCCCTCACCCATGATGTATATTAAGACTTTTTATCTCTGTTTTGCAATGGTGCTTTATGTACTGGGCCCGGGGGTAACCCGAATAACGCGGTCCAGGTCCGGTCCCAAATCCAAGAGTTCTGCGAGGAGTCCGACAGAGCCAAGGCAGGACACAAGGCAGGAAACAAGGCAAGGTCAGGCACAGGATCACAGGCAGGTTCTGGCAAACAGCAACGTTGCTCCCGCAACCTGGTTCCAGCAGCCTTTTATCTCTGTCTGGGTAACAGCCAGTCCTGATCCCCTGGTGACTCACCTCTCTGTCTCACCCGAAGGCGAGCACTCCTCCTGCGAGTACTCGGTTCTCTCCTTCTCTCAGACCTTAGTCTCTGCAGCTCAGGAGGTGTCGGTGGGTTACTAGACCTAGAGGCCGCCTCAGCCTCTCCTGACCCAACAGTGGAGCAGCTGCATGTGACTGCCCAGCAGAGGGCAATGAGGTCATCCCTGCATCTGGAGCCAGGGCAGGCTCAGACCCTGACTCGGCCCAGCTGGTGCTTGTTGCAGGGGAACCTGTGCAGACTGGGGCTCTTCAGAATCAGGCCCCAGACTAGGTTCAGATGCCACTTGAGGCAAAGGATCCGGTGTGGACTGAGACTCCTCTGGCTCCAAGTCCAAGCCGGAGTCCCAGGCCATCACACTTTATGTGGCAAGAGTGGAAATTCCTGCTTAGTGTGCGCCAGACCTTGTAGCTATTGAAAAGGGGGCCCTTTGGATCCCAGCATGGTTTTCTCTTCCCCTTTCAAGGTGTTTATGGGAAGCTGCAGATGCATAGCGCTTATACCCAGAACTCTTGGACATACCTTGGAAGCAATGCTGCCCCTGGCAATGAAAGGTAAGGCCCCCCCTTTTTTTGTCCCCCTGTCTTGGGAGATGAATTGGCTGATGACTGTGGACAGGGTCTTTTTCAGTTACAGCACCTTATCCTTTTGGTTCATTTGCTTCTTGTAGGCTACAGAATCACAGCCAATAAGGGATCTTGTAGTGAAAGCGATAACAGTGTAGATTTGTCTATATGATTTTGCTGTTTCCTGGTCTGACCGCATGGGTGCTGCTAGACAACTGGGTCGATGATCGCTGTCACCCTAAAATGACTGCACATATGGACTGATGACCCCACTTTTTCTGCAATACAGTTGCTAAAGAGAATCCCCCTTCCCGTCTGGCCCAATACCGACCCTGCTGAAATCCTAGAATTGATAGCTGAGCTGAAAACTGGTAAGGCCCCTGGGCCAGATTTGGTCCCAGTTGAGGCCATAAAGCTTCATTCTGCATGGTGGGCAGGGATCTTAGCTAAAACGTTTGACGCAATAAATGCCACGGGCTTAATACCAGGAACGTGGAAGGAGGCCATTATAATTCCTATCTACAAAAAAGGCCCTCCCGGTGACCCAGGGAATTATCGGAATATCAGTCTGCTATCGTCCATTGGGAAAATATATGCCCGTTTCTTGCTGACAAGGTTGATGAAGTGGTCAGTTGAGGCTGACCTGATTGGACATGAGCAAGCTGGATTTAGATCAAACCGATCCACAACAGACCAGGCAATTATTCTTTATCACTTAGCCCGGAAATACTCGACACCTCGACGGGGCCAACTTTGCGCAGCTTTCATAGATTTGAAAGCTGCGTTTGATAGTATTCCGAGGAAATTGCTATGGGATAAACTTGCCTGTTGGGGAATAGATAGAAGGCTCCTGTGGCTTATCTCCCAACTTCATGCCGGGTCCGTGGCCAGTGAGATTATCCCCTGCTGGAGACCTGACTAACCCAGTGCCAGTAAATAAGGGTGTACGCCAGGGTTGTATTTTAGTGCCGCTTCTTTTTAACTTATTTATCAGTGATATGAGGAACCCATTAGCCGTCGCACAAAAATTTATCCACACCCCTCGCATAGCTGATTACCGTTGTCCTTTACTTCTCTACGCAGATGATGCGGTACTACTCTCTTACTCTAGAGTGGGTTTAAGGAGGGCATTAAAGATCTTTGCGACATATTGCCATTCTAATCATCTGTCTATCAACCACACCAAGTCTAAAGTACTGATATTTTCAAGGAGTCGAAAACTTTATTCTTGGAAGCTGGAGGGCACGAAAATCGAACAAGTACATAAATTTAAATACTTAGGAATTTATTTTCAATATAATTTAGGGTGGAAAGCGCACATTGAATATCTTCAAAACAAGACAAAAGCCCTATCACACTCCCTCCTCCGTTTTTTCTACTCTGAGGGGGCCTTATTCATCCCTGCGGCCTTGAAAGTGTATAGCATCAAAGTGATGGCCACAATGGCCTATGCTGCTCCTTTATGGGCTGCCTTTGCAAACCTCTCACCTTTAGAGACACTTCAAAGCCAATTCTTACGCCGACTTTTAAAATTACCAACATGCGTAAGTAATGCGGCCATTCGCTTAGAAATGAAGATCCCCTCAGTGGAGTTAGTCATATGGAGGAGAGTTTTGATCTATTGGATATCCCTATGGCATAAACTCCCGAACCACTATCTAATTCAATGCATGTGGCGGGATGACTTCACAAATTTGTGGTCAGGAAAAATCCATGCCAAATTGCTGTCCTATGAGATCTCGCCCACTGAATTGCTCAAACTGGATCTAAATGTGGCAAAAAGGTGTATAAATCAAAGGCTGGATGATGCGGAGCTATACCAAAATTTCGTAGCTGGTGGTGGAGCATGCTCGCCGTTAAATTTCGGCATAACCCCTATCTACCGCGCTCCGTCCTACTTAACATCGCTTATGGCTGCGTCTCACCGTTATGCCTTCATTAGAGCTAGGTTCAATGTTTTTCCAACAAACGTGCTGAGACATAGATTCACTAAGGGCCAAGTCCCTTCAATGTGTGCTTGTGAAATGAAAACATCTGAATCTCTACATCATGTTATGTTTATCTGCCCTTTGTACAGTTCAGCCCGTGCTAGTATTCTAAACCCCATAATCCAGCCTAAGGCTGACAAACCAGTAGACCTACAGCTTGCCTGGGTACTTCAAGATGTGGATCCTTATATTACCCTACAGGTTGCTAAATTCCTAACAGCCGTCCTCTCGCACAAGAGACGGAACGGAATGTTAGCCGATTATTGATAGTCACAAGAATTTTCTATAATGACATCAGATATTGTTTTCAGTGTAGTGCCAAAATTTTTTAATCTTAATCTTAAACTTTTTTTATGAATGGCTAATATCCGTCCTTGTGAGTTGTGAACTGTGTTATACTACTTGTGGTTTGTATGAGTCCGCTGTTTTATTTGATTTGTTTTGTTGTGTTGTGCTTCATGATGGGCGTAATAGCCGAATAAACATTTGTTGTTGTTGCTAAAGAGAAGTGCTTGTGGACCCACTTACAGCACCCCACACCCTGGTGGGTGAAAGGCAATCCCAGCCACAGGTGTAAACAAACTGCACCATACAACATTCTGGGATTTAAAATTGGCCACTACTTTTATGGATTGCAGATTTAGGTAGGCATATATCTCCAGGCAGTGGACCGGAGTGAAGACTTTGGTCTGCCCCCAGACTCCGCCCCCCAACCTGCTCATGATTGGACAGTTCCAAATTGAGGATAGCGGGCTTTCGTGCCATCCCTTGTGGCCAGGGGGATTCCACAACAGCTAGCTGCCCATGGGAGAGCGTTTCACCCCAGGGAGCCGGGTTGCACTTTAGAATACTTTGTGAAGGGCTACAACTGCTGCCCACCCTGGGACCCGGTGAGCAGCCATTTTCCTACCTTCTAATCATATTTGGAAAACATGCTCACCTTTTAATAATTTTCAGGTTTATTTGATAAGTGGGGGACAAAAGTATTCTAAAGTGACTAGAGGTAAGCATTGCTTTCAGTGACATTATCTGATCAGCCCTAATATTTGATCATTTCCCTTCTGTTATATATCCTATATAGATTTTCTTCTGTTTCCTCCATTCCTGGGCGTTTGCTGGTATTTTAGGGGGTGATTTTATTTCTTTTGATCAGGCAATTCACAACTGTGACAATGATGTTTTAGCAGTTTAATGGGTCACTTTAGTTTGAGTATGACTGATGTTATGATTATGAGTTTTGTTTGTTGTAAGCTGCTGAGGGACTTTTTTGTACTAGGCCAGGGGTCTGCAACCCGCGGCTCCGGAGCTGCATGTGGCTCTTTTACACCTTTGCCGCGGCTCCGGGGCGGATACTAGCGAGGGGAGGAGGCGCATTGTGCGCCCCGACACTCCCCACTGTGGCGGGCGCTGTACTGGCTGTGACGTCGCATGGGGGCGGTGCGTACGTTAGTCACATGTACACTGGTCACTGTTTTGAAGGGGAGTGAAGAACACACACACACACACAAAAGGTAACTTGTTAATTTAACGTTTATTTCTCTGAGGAGGAGTAATTCTGAGGGGTCAAACAAAGAAATAATAAAAAAGTGACAAAAAAGTTATTTTTATAATGACGAGTTTTGCGGCTCCCAGTTTTTTTCCCTTCGGAAACAGGTCCAAGTGGCTCTTTTTCTCTTAAAGGTTGCAGACCCCTGTACTAGGCAAATACAAACTTCAATAAATCTAAATCTAGGTGTCAGTATCTTTCTGCCATACCAGTGTGGTGAGAGCCAGTGTGGTGTAGTGGTTAAGAGCGGTAGTCTCATAATCTGGTGAACCGGGTTCGCGTCTCAGCTCCTCCACCTGCAGCTGCTGGGTGACCTTGGGCCAGTCACACTTCTCTGAAGTCTCTCAGCCCCACTCACCTCACAGAGTGTTTGTTGTGGGGGAGGAAGGGAAAGGAGAATGTTAGCCGCTTTGAGACTCCTGAAGGGGAGTGAAAGGCAGGATATCAAATCCAAACTCTTCTTCTTCTTCTTCATACCATTTTAACCTTTATTTTTTCCCTCAATTGTCCCAGGTGAAAAAAGACTACTAAATTATCTCCTTTACTCTGCCACAGCATTCTTCATATAATATTATTTTGCCACTTATAGATCATTTGCTTTAGCATTCTCCTGTTTTTCTAAACCATTTCCCCCCATTAGGGTTTATTTTTGTATCATTAAAGAAATGTGTAGGATCTTCACATTAATTCTGCAGAGGTTTATAGGATTATGGTACAAGACGAATTGGATTGGCATTATGGAGACAATATTGTCATCAGTTCGTCTTCCTATGAAGCTCATCAGGCTGAAATAGTCACTTTGGAAGAAGTCAACCATCGTAGCCTTAGAATCCGTGAACGTCTACTCCACAGACACACAGGTATGCAAACTCTCAACCTTGGCTCCGTATGTTGGCTGTTTTATCCTTGGGGCCCCTGGCACATTAACTAGCTTTTATTTTGTATCATAGTTCCTTATGCCAATAGCCAGAAAGGGTGGAAATTCCATAGGTTGAAGTCATGGATCATTCCTGCTGGCCTTCCCTGTCAGATTATTATTATTATTATTATTATTATTATTATTATTATTATTATTATTTTCTCTACTGGCCTTCCTCTGAGGATCACAGGGTGGTATACAATATATAAAAAAACAAAACTACATAACATAGAGTGATCCTTCCTCATATGGTATATGGGGATGGAAGTGGGGGTGGATATGGGGCTGGGGCTGCAGGCAGAGTTCACTGTTTTCCGCATCCTTCCAGAGTGATCTAAACAATATTTTGGTGCTAAACTGACAGCATCAATGCTTGCCAAATTATTGAACTTGAAGCCCTAGGCATAATGGTCCCAAGTTATTTTGGAAATTGTCTCCTTTTCCTGTTTCATTTTCTCTGGGATGTGATTAGTCCAGTTGGTTCTGTTTTCCCTGCTGTTTCATATGAAAGCCTGAGAAATCTCCCAGTTCAGTATTTAGTGAATTCTGACAGATAACCCCTTCTCTAATTCTGCTGGTGAGTGAGCAACTTTCTTGCTGGTCACCCAGTAGGAGAACCCAGAGTGAAATGGACCTTATTGTTCTGATTTTTGAAGCGGAGACATTTGAATGGCCCAAACTGACCTGCTTTTACCTTCATGATTCCTTCTATTATGTCATGTATAGGACAATCCCACAGATTAGAAAATGGACAATGGATTCCTCTGGCTGCAGAGATTGGCCTTCTCACAAGAAATATACAAATTAAATCTGACCTGGATTGTGCTGGGGGGATCTTAGTGGGACACCATGCCAGTGGAGCCCAGTATGCAGGTACTCAAATACTCATAGCTGTTTTGTTCAAATTTCTCAGCTAATGCAGCTGAGAACCTTCCCATGCTTTTCGAGGTCTGCAGCCACTGTGCCTCCTGTTATGATGGTGTGTATATGGGACAACACAGATTATGCACATTTGTTTGTATCTTTAATTGTACATAAAATGGGGAAAACTCCATAGCTATTTTCTACCCTGCCAGCTGTAGTGGCATTCTGCCACACCGGGGAGTGCATATGTAAATAAATATTTTGGATGACAGAGCACTTGCTGAGGGATAGCAAGGTTATAGTTTATTACAGGAAACACAGTGAAGACTCTTGTGCTGTTTTGGAAGTTGGGGCTTCAAGACGAAATGGACTGAAACATGTTGGGTGAGAGTGCTGTTTCCTCAGCCCCTCACAATGCCCAGTGACATTTTGACAGGAGTCTGAAAGCAGTTGTAATATGGCATATGGGGTTTGGTGCCTGCTATTCAAAGATCCCACTGGAACTGCCTAAAGCAATTTTTCAATGTGCTTTCTCAGATATTGCAGTGTCATCTTCAGGAATACAGTGGAACCTCTACTCACATACGGAATCCGTTCTGGAGGTCCGTTTGTGAGTTGATCCAGGTCGCTGGTAGAAATGCGCGAATGGCGGTAAACCCGGTATTTACTTCCAGGTTTGCCGTGGTCGCAAGTCGAATTGTTTGTGGGTAGGGGCAGTGGTAAGTCGAGGTTCTACTGTATGGGTTTAGGGCTTTCTGTTATTTTTTTAAAAAAATCCAGCAGGATATTCATTAATAATGTGATTTGTTTTTTCTCAGGGTTTAATGGTTACAAAAGAGAAACTAGTTCCATGCTCTGTCTTTTTCTGTGTTATAGGTATCCTCCAGCTTTCTAATGTTGAAATTTTGGGCTTTGGATCTTCACAGTCTCCAGCAGTTGGCATCAGGAATGCATCCCATGAATCTTTCATAATCTCCTCCAGTGTTCACCAAAGCTGTGGAGCTGGCATTCAGGCGCTTGCAAGCAGCGGACTCCTATTACACGGCAACGTGGTATTTGGAACCGTTGGTCACGGCATACATTTGGAAGGCCAAAATCATACCCTTACCAGGAATCTTGTTATTCTGAGCAAACAGCCGGGGCAATCAGTACACTGGGTGACTGGCATCAAAACGAATGTTGCAGAGGGTACCCGCCTACAGAATAATGTTGTAGCCGGATCAGAACGGATAGCCTTTCATATCAAAGGGCAAGAATGTTTCTTACCCGAGACACTTTGCACTGACAATGTGGCTCATTCAAGCCTTCACGGGATACATTTATACAGAGGAGATGGCTTTCCAAACTGCACCAAAATCACAGGCTTTCTGTCCTACAAGAACTATGACTATGGGATCATGTTTCATCTTAAAGGAAACATAGTGGTAGAGAAAGTGATACTAGTAGACAATGTTGTGGGTCTCCTGCCAGTCCTTTACAGCCCACCTGCTGATCTGCAGTCCCACCTGGAAAGGCAGTCCATCATACTACGAGACTCTGTCCTTGTGGCCACAAGCTCTTCCTTTGATTGCATCAAGGACAGAATCCAACCTCTTGCAGCTGACTTGACAAGTACTGATCGAGCTCCACGTAATCCTTGGAGAGGTCGAGTTGGCATACTGTGGCCTTCTTTCACCTCTGATCATAGCTGGTGGCCTGACAGCCCATGGCATAAGATGAGAAATTATTCCGTAGTGCTGGGAAACATGATTTTACAAGGTTGGTGTTACATTTTTGTGAGCTTATGGGGTCCTGCATTAATCAACTCTGTATTATTTTTCGAATGTCAAAGACTCTAATGGTTTTTTATTTCCAGAAATTGATAAAATTAGCAGCAAATTTAAGAGGAGGGGGTGAGTAGCTTACTTTTTTTCAGCAAAACCAACCAACCAATGAAATGTCAGGAGCTCGTCCTATTCTTGAGTAGGACCCTGGCAGAGACACATGCCCGACTGGCATGTTCTCTCCCTCCTGGTTGTTCGTTTGGGAGCTTCAAAAGCTTTCTTCTGCCCGAACATCACAGCGACCGATGTCAACAGACACCGGCACACTTAGGGATCCGTAGAGTTTGCGCAGCTTGTGTTACAGACCTCAGCAACTCAGCATTTTGGCTAATCTACTTTATTTACATATAAACACACACGGAGCACTGCAACATGGCTCCCTCTCTCTCTAGCATCAAACAGCAAAGAGAAAGTACGAAGGACAATAGTCCCACTTCATGGAACACAGTAACACAAACATCCTGTCTCCGTCACTTCCCACTCTGTGGAGTCAAAACATATACCGTCATGTGATAGATAACAATCCCATGACTGCAATCACGGAGCAGGAATTCTAACATGAAACACCTCAGTATGTTGTGGCACCTTAAATACTAGCATATATATTGCGCAAGCTTTTGTGGGCTAGGACTGCAGTCCTCTGCTCTTTCCTACGGCCAATAAGTTTCATTGAACAGTACAATCTTCTTCCAAATAAACATGCACAGGATCGTAAGTAAAGCCCATTGCATTAGATGCATGATGATACAACACTATATATTTATGCACAACTGAGGAATACCAGAAAAAGTTACAAAATTAGTTGTTTTGCTAAATGTTTTCTTCTGAAAAGCAAAACGAGGAATTGTGAGAAATTTTTAAACAGAACATTGCGGCATTGATCCAGCTAAGCTTATGCATACCAAGTTCTACTGAAAGTAATGATATTAAAGTTAGGTTTCAGTGGGTATTAGGCATATATCTAACTTAGATGAACAGGGTCTACAAGTATTAGCACTTTGCAGGGGGAGGATGGAAAATCATGAGCTCTTATGCAAATTAATTTCAGTCAAAACTGAAATTCTAACTCACAGCCACTGATTTTAAAAGAATATGTGAAAATAGGTGGAAAAAAATCATTATGGCATTTATTTGGCAGGATGGCTAAGTCATCTGTGTAACATGCTCACAAACTGTACTATTTAATTAACAGTTACATCTAGGGTCTGCAGTTGATATCGTTGTGCCTCAATTATAGATACCGTGCAAATAATAAACAATAGTTTCTGAGACCAAAGCTGATTATGTTTCCTTTGTCTAATTGCAATGTACATTACTGTACATTATCCAAATTCAATTCAAGCTCTGAATTTCTATAATTTTGAAGCCTCTTATCCTGGACCCACTGAAAGTCAAAATGTCTGACCCAAGCCAGCGTGGTGTACTGGGGAACCGGGTTCGCTTCCCCGCTCCTCCACCTGCAGCTGCTGGGTGACCTTGGGCCAGTCACACTTCTCTGAAGTCTCTCAGCCCCACTCACCTCACAGAGTGTTTGTTGTGGGGGAGGAAGGGAAAGGAGAATGTTAGCCGCTTTGAGATTCCTGAAGGGAGTGAAAGGCGGGATATCAAATCCAAACTACGCTGCTGCTTCTTCTTCTTCTTCTTCTTCTTCTTCTTCTTCTTCTTCTTCTTCTTCTTCTTCTTCTTCTTCTTCCATGTGCAAAGGTCATAGAGGGATCAGGCTGGGTGTTCCATAAAAAAATACAACAAATATTAGGCTGGAGTTTGAGTCAATGCAAGGGGCTTTGCCAGGTAAATTTGCTGCCCCCTCTGTTCAGATGCTATAATTATTTCTCTGCAGTGCCATTTTTTTGGTACCACTGCCCCAGATATTATCTTCCCCTCTTACTCTTTTGTTTCTCATTGTGTACACCACCTATCTATAGAAAGTCTCCATCGATGTTTCTGGTGACTAGAGTATACCATAGACCTGTAACCCGTCAATGCAGCTTGTCAAATCCCTTGCTTAGCCTTGGATGATGCGACTGCTGAGCCTTTCCCACAACTCTGCTTTCCTTCATTATCAGATGTCACCTTTGCTGGCTTTAGGAAAACCTGCTACAGTGACGACAGAGACATCTGCATCATGACAAATCCTGACAGTGCAGGCATTCTGCATCTGGTCACATCCAAAAGGGCAAGCATTTTCCATGTCAGTGAAGAAAATGTGTTCTACTTCCATCCACTGCAAAATAGGTAAGGGGGCCATCGCTGTCAAGTAACCTGGCTGAGGCTTCTTGTCAAGCATTTGGGTGCTTCTCCTCATCTAGCCCAGGGTGAGGAACTTGTGGCTCTCCAGGCATTTGTTTATGACAAAAATATATTGCTTAATATAATAAAAAAATCTCTAATCAGTTTACGTAAAAATAATAAAAATAGAACTTTCAATGTTGTTGTTTTTCTAAAAACTAGTTAAAAATGTAATAAAAAAACCAACTGTATATGACAAATAAAATTGACATTTTATGTCGCTGAACTGCAATTTCAGTGATCCTGGATCATTGGCTGTCCTGGCTGGGGCTGATGGGAGTTGAAATCCAAAAACATCTGGAGGTCCACAGGTTCCCCAAGCCTAACCTAGAGATTTCCACAGCAGAAATCTAAATCCACTTGAAAGTCTTTTTGGCTTCCTGTGCAAAGCATTTTGGAAAGTGTAATTTAGTGAAGAATGCACATATTTCTTTCTTAGAGGTTCTCTAGCTCCTTTAGCAAAGTCAGAGATTCTAGGATTCCCTGTTTAGGAGCCTTGGCTTGTTTCTAATACAGTCATACCTGGGAAGTCAAACAGAATCCATTCTGGAAGTCTGTTTGACTTCCAAAGTGTTCAAAAACCAAATTGATTGGCTGCAGGATTGGCTGTAGGAAGCTCCTATAGCCAATTGGAAGCTGTGGAAGCCCCATTGGACATTCAGCTTCCAAAAATAGTTTGCAAACAGGAACAGTCACTTCTGAGTTTGCAATGTTTGGGAGCCAAAACGTTTGGGAGCAAAGCTGTTTGACTTCCAAGGTATGACTCTACATGCAATGCCTTCTACATTGACTGGTCTGCTTATAACGAGTTTGAGTTTATACCTCAGGAGTGGCAGGAAAAGGCCAAGTTAGAGATCCAGACCAAACCAAACCCAAGATTTAGGCACATACTCTTTAATTTCCAAAGAAAATAAATTTAGGCTACTGGTTATGTTTGGGTGTAATGCTAAATCATGACTTAATGCTGCATGAATGAACTTGAGGAAGCTTTTGATTCCACGTTTAGCAAATCAGAGCTTCCCATTTCTTTTGAACCAGGGACTGTGGTTCAGCACCCTAGGAAGGACCGACCACCAGGCCTACTTCAGTTTAGACAAGCTGTGATTCAGGGGCAAGGAGGCTGTGTAACCCATCACCACTTAAGCTGAGTAACCTCTTGGGAAATCCTCCTGTTTAAAGCATCTTACCTCAAACAGCTTCCACCTGATCTGGAAGTGGAAAAGTCGTATACATTTCAGACAGGTCTTTTGCATGTACAGGTGACAGCTTCAGTGAATTGGAGTTCATTGTAGGGAAGCAAAACACATAATGGGCATCAGGTAAATACATCCCCTGCTGCTCCCCTCTGGTTTGGGCAGCAAAGTCAGAATGTGACTTGAAATGTAGTGCGGAAGAAATTACCTTGCTTTGTTTTAAGCTGCAAATGTGTCCATAGCCTGAAAGTAAATGCTGCCAGATTCTTCCTCCCAACTATGCCTGTGCATCAGACAGGGGGAGCAAGGAGCATGCCGGAATGGCTTATTCATGTAGCTCTAAACCATGATTTAACTTTATGTCTGAATGAGGCCACTGTTAACCCACTTGTGACTCCAATTTTGTTTTGTATTGTTCTGGGTCTGAGTAAAAATATATATGAAATGATGTGTTATCTCATGAGTCTAGATTCATACTTCATTTAATACATCTTTTTTCAAATCTGAGCTTTTGAAACTTTCGTGTTGCTAGCGAGAAATATTGCTGAGCTCCAAGTTCACACATAGGCAGAAGACAAACACGAAAACTTAAACAACTGGTGAAACAGTAGCATCCATTTGTATAGAAGAATTTTTGTCTGTTTCTATCACTTTCATGCTACCCACTGTTTAAATAATGTGCCTGTCGATAATGGGAAAATTCTCTGAGTTGAGTTCAGGATGGTTTTCTCTCAACTATGATATTTGTTTGTTTTGTTTGTCAGAGAAAATGAATCAAATGAATCATGTGTTGCTGTGATCTGTGGGAGCTCAGGAAAAGCTCTTTTCAAAGATTTGGATGGAAGTGCCTTGAGACTGAATCCACCTGTGTCTGTCTTCCCCAAATCAGAGTTTGAAACAGAACAACCATGTTTGGATGCTGGTAAGTTGCATGCAAGAACTACACAGTAAGGCTGAGAAGTCTGGTAAGTTGCAAGAGCAATAAGGCAGTCCAGTCCCACTTTGGCCGTCTGAAGGCAACTGCTTCTGAACTTATATTTTGTGCTGGTATAAGAAAGATAGCTGCATGACAATAAAAGGATTTGGAGCAGGCTTCCTCAACCTCGGCCTTCCAGATGTTTTGAGACTACAATTCCCATCATCCCTGACCACTGGTCCTGCTAGCTAGGGATCATGGGAGTTGTAGGCCAAAAACATCTGGAGGGCTGAGGCTGAGGAAGCCTGATTTAGAGTCATGTTCTTAGGGGTACCATGACTTCCAGTGGTGTGTGTCTTGTCTGCCCTTCTTTCAGGGCAAGTAAATTAATTCAGCATAACCTTTATGTGCATTAATGGCAGCGTGGTCCATGTTTATTCTTCAGCAGAGCAGGGTAATTTTATTCACTTTTCACAAGTGCTTTGAAATCCCTAATGTGAGATGCTTTCTAAACAATTGACCTAATAAGATTTTGCTTGAATCCCACAGAGGAGAAAATGCTAGGCCCCCCGGCATAACACCCTGCTCAAACCTTTTAAAGCAAACTGCCTGTTTAAAAAGAGCCGTTCTGTTACACAGCCGTGTGCTGGAAGGGCATGCGGTGAGGCTCTGTTCTCGTCCTGATTAAGACTCTGTTCTGTGATTCCAAATAAACTCTTTAATTACAATTAGCATCTCTTGAGCATGCTGCTGCTGATGGCAGCCATTTTAAGAGAAAAGTTGCATCGTTTATGACTTCTGCAGTATGGGAGCTCGATGCAAGGGACGGTAATTAATCCCATTTTCCATCCTGCCCTAGAAATTGATTAAGCACAAAGAGAACTTTAATCTTTAAACAAAATGTCTAATCTTTAAACAAAATGTCTAATGTCTTACCCGGTAAAAGGCATTTCTCTAAGGATCCGTGTCTCTGGCTGCTTAGAGGGCTGATTAATTCGCAATGTTGGTACAGACACACTTCTCCCCGCTGCCTTCTGTGACCTGATTATGAATCACAAACCAGTGTCAGAGCCACAGTGGTCATTGCCACACCAAATTGCCCTTTAAAACCAGGTTAATTGTTCTGTGTGCTCATGCAAGTGCATTGCAATAAAGATTGTTTGGTGGGCAGTAGTTTACAAATGTCAGGGAACCACAGGACTTACCTTATAAGTGATATCACAAGAAAGTGATAGGCAGGTGCCCCTTAGCTTGCTTTGGGGATGAATCTATTACTATTGTCATTGGAGAAAAGGTAAACATAAAAGAGGTTGGGTTTGTGTTCCCCACCTGAAAATTCTAATTTGACCTGTAAATTCTGCCTGTATCTTTTTAAATATATTGTCCAATCATTTTCATCAGACCCTTAATGTTTATTTGTGATTTGGACACACATCACAGCTTCCTAACTTGAGTGCCCTATATGCAAAGGACTTTTACACCCTCTTTATTAGTTCTTCCCATCCTCTGTTTTCTTGATCTTTTTAACTTACGGTGAGGCCAAAAGTTTTAATCTTTGAAAACTCAGTGTTGTTTTCTATGGACTAGTATTTTCCCAATCAGGCAGTTCAAATGTGTTGTGGGATGGGGGATTATTGGTTTGTCATTGTCATTATTCTTACTACGTACTTTGTGGGTTTTATATTGTAATTTTATGTTGTAAACTGCCCTGAGATCTACAAATGAAGGGTGGAATACAAATTTAATAAATAATAATAATAGATCTTCCTTTTGATTATTTTAATGTATCCAGCTAGATATTTTCATGTATCCAGCCCATATATCGGGCATTTGATTTTATTACCTGTTTTTATTCAAAAGTGAATTTCCTTTTCTGATAACCACTCTGAACAATAGTCCCATCTCCCCTAGCACTGGGATCTGTTTTCTATATTTGCTTAGAGTACGGGGTTCCTTCCCTTTCCCTGCTACCATTGCTCTAGCTTTCATTCAGCACTGGTAGCTTGAGAATTGTGGAAACAGAGTGGAGGAGGGAGGCAAAAGTGGGTACGTGGACATCTAGTTCTGCAGAAACAATATCTAAATTTTAGACCTCTCTTTTAAGGCAAATTGAAATTACAAGGACTCATCTGCAGTACATAGTCCAGTTCATACTATGACAAATGGAACCAATGGTGACCTAAAGATTTAGCAAGCACTTTTGCGTTTGGTGAACACTTTTGAAACCATTGCCAAAGGAATATCTTGTAAAAACATGTTTCTTATAAAGTGAGAGACAAACCACAGGAAAGCTATGGTTTATGATTCTCAGTTCAGAATTAGTAAGCTAAAGCAGAGGGCTTTTTGCGGGTTAATGGGTATTGCAGTGTCCTTGCTGATATCACTTGTGTGCAGGCTTAAAGAAGAATTGCATTTCCCCTAAATTTCCCAGGCATATCTGTAACCCAAGCAAACTGCTGAGTGTTAGTGTGCAGTGCTTTACACATAAGTGCTGTGTTTTGCAACAATTAATTTTGCAGAGGAAGCAGCCTGTTTAAAGATGCCTGAAGCGCTCACTGAAATGTGTGTTGTTTTTCAAGGCCACCAGACACACAGTTGGCTAGGCTGGCTAATAAACAAAGCAACAATGCAAAAGCCGTAGCCTTGTAGGGTTTGCTGGAGAAGGGGGATGAGGAGTAAAATGAATAATGCTTACCTGCCAGAGGTGGGTGAAGACAGTAATTGTTTAGCCTGCAGCGGATCTCTGCAAGGGTTAAAAATGACAGATATTAGTTGAAGAGAGCTAAGATTGTTTGGTTTGAAGCTTTCAGCAATACAGAGACTGTTATTTACCGGACTTGGTCGATTTACTTCTTAATGCAATAATGACCTGTGAAATGAAACGTGAGCTAGACAATTGTTCCTCATTGTTTCCAGTAAAACGTTCTTTCATACCCCATTAAGCCACCATTAATTCCGTATGAAAGAGAGGCAGTCGCAAGCACACAGATCTTGGGTTTTCTTTCTTTATCACAAATGTCCTTTTCTTTGCTGTAGCCTCTGTTCCTCTAAGACTGTCATGGAAAAATGACATGCATATAAAACAAGTTCAAATAACCCGTATTAATGGAGATGTGTGTACACTGCAGTTTTACCTCACTTGAACCAGTCAGGATTTGCTACACGCTACAGCTCAGTATTAATTTATATACAGTATTAATGAATATATATTAAGAGGCAATTAGTGGGAAGATGTTGATGTGATGGTGATAATAGTGATATGCTCTTGGGGTGGGCTTTACACCTGAATGTGTACACTGGGGGCAGCTGCAGCCAGGAGTACCTTTATCCATTTTAGGCTGAGGGGCCAGCTGCATTCCTTTCTGGGGCAGTCAGACCTGGCTATGGCAACACAGATCTTAGTTATGCCCAGCTTGGATTGTTACAATGCCCTCTCCATGAGTCTGTCTTTGAAGAGCCTTCAGAAACTTCAGTTGGTTTAGAGAATGAAGCTGCAATATCATGTTTCTCCTCTCCTGAAACTGCTGCATTGGCTGCCAATTTGTTTCTGGATTTGGTGATGACGTTTAAAGTCCTAAATAGCTTGGCTCTAGGATACATAGGAGCCACATCCACCTGCACAGCCAGCCGATCCCCCAGGATCAGGAGGATCCCTGAAGGTGCAATCACAAACAATTCCAGCAGGGAAGGAAGTGTGAGGCATCTAAAGATGATTGATAAAGATGATGATTTTAAAGGTAAAGGTAAAGGTAGCCCTGCCCGTATGGGCCAGTCTTGACAGACTCTAGGGTTGTGCGCCCATCTCACTCTAGAGGCCGGGGGCCAGCGCTGTCCGGAGACACTTCTGGGTCACGTGGCCAGCGTGACATCGCTGCTCTGGTGAGCCAGAGCCGCACACGGAAATGCCGTTTACCTTCCCGCTAGTAAGCGGTCCCTATTTATCTACTTGCACCCGGGGGTGCTTTCGAACTGCTAGGTTGGCAGGCGCTGGGACCGAGCGACAGGAGCGCACCCCGCTGTGGGGATTCGAACCACTGACCTTTTGATTGGCAAGCCCTAGGCGCTGAGGCTTTTACCCACAGCGCCACCCGCGTCCCGCATGATGATTTTACTGTATAGGTTTATGGTTTTATATGGTTGTAAACACCTATGATATATTTCAAGGATACAGAAGGATATAAATATTTTTATAAGAAAAGATAAGCTGTCTTCAAATATCTGAAGAGCTGTCATGTGGGTGATGGAGCAAGCTTGCTTTCTGCTTCTCCAGAGGGCAGGACTAGAACCTGAGCCAATGGATTCAAATTAGAAGAAAGGAGATCCTGATTAAGCATTAGGAAGAACTTTCTGACAGTAAGAGCTTTGTGACAGTGGAACCGACTCCCTTGGAAAGTGGTGGACCATCATTCCTTGGAGGTTCTTAAGCAGAGGTTGGGTGGCCATCTGTCAGGGATTATTTAGCTGTGATTCCTGCATTCCACTAGGTGGTCCTTGGGACCTTTCCAACTCAGCAATTCTATGATTTACTTCTCTGTGTCCTATCCACCACAGAAGCACTGTTGCATGGGAAAAGAGAGAGAGGCTTCTAAGGGGCCACACCTAGATTCTGGAGCACTTGTCCTGTGAAGTATGGTTGGTCCCCTCCATTGCTGCCTTTTGCCATGTGAGGCAGGTATTCGGTAGTATTCTACTGCTGAGTCACATCAGTGCAACAATGTCCACTTGTGTAATGGGATTTCCCCCTCCCCTCCCCTCGGATGTGCCCTGCACCTTCCCCAAATCTGCTCCAGAGGGTTGGGGAACCCCTAGAATAGATTTAGGGATTGCATGGAGGGAGGGTGATAATGTTTTGTTGTACAAGCAGAAATCCTTGCACTAACAGAACAATTGTCTCAAAACATTCCACACAATCTTTTTATACAGCTAATCTGGTTTTCTCAACTGACTCTTTCCCCCCCACGTTGGTTATTTTATGCTGCTTTAAGTTTTGATTTTTTAAAAAAGTT